TACATTTGCTGTTATGTTAAACTTATATTAAAGTTTTTCTTCATTACCCATTCAAGCCATCTCCAGCCATTATTAATACTATGATAAGTACGGTAAATCTATTGACCCCCCACCCCAAATGAGTATTTTCATCAACACTAGATACTGTCCTAAGTTAAATGTATTACTGCATATGCTTGCAAAATAAAAATTAGATAAAAATAAATGTCATATAATAACCAAACATACAAAAGGCTTGTATATGATGTTAAATCAACATTATTTATACTCCTCCTCATACTTTCATAACCATGCACGAAACTCTTCTGTCAGATGAGGCAACACATTTCATAATCATGCAAGAACCCCCATTTACTGGATAAGTGAATATGATTTATTACCATGCAAGAATCCCTTTTGTTGAATGGGGAAATGATTCATAATCATGCAGGAACCACTTCAATAGATGAAGAAATATGATTCATAATCATGCAAGAATCCCTTCATTAGATGAGGAAATATGATTCATAATCATGCAAGAATCCCTTCTGTTGAGTGAGGAAATATGTATCATAACCATGCAGTAACTCCTTCCATTAGATGAGAAAATGATTCATTGACATGCAGGAACCCCTTCTGTTGGATGAGGAAGTGATTCATAATCATGCAGGAACCCCCTTCTGTTGGATAAAGATACATGAAATACCTGAAAATGAAACTTTAACCATTCATCTAATTTTAAAACGAATTTAAAATCTCTGGGAAACAAGGATTGTTAAAAGATTTGTTTTACTTTGAAGCTATTTAACAAGTTTATTACAGACAAGTTTACAATTAGATATAAAAGGTGCAATTGCAATATGAAGGCATACCTTACATTTCCTTCCTTTATGTTTTAATATAATACTTTTGGAATTTTTAAGTTATGCTAAGTATGTGAAGTTTTCATATAACAAGTAGTTAAGAAAAATTAAGTTGCTTTCATTCTAGCCACTCTTGTTCTTTGTTATTCTCTTGAGATAACATCTGGTCTGACCATGGAAGGTGTAGCTGTAAAGCTTCACTTTGTGTGAACATAGACAGCAATTTCCTCCAGTGGTGGGTCAGATCATATCTAGAGGTTAAAGATCCCTTATATTTAAATGAAATTTGCAAATAGTGACATAGGTAGTGCTCACATTTTGAGAGACAGTGTTATAGAATTTAATACTGTGATCTCTTAGTTATTTCTCTTTCTCAAGCTCAAACCCTCAGTTTGTGAAATGAAGCTCAGAGAGATAACTATCAAGTAAAAGCATTCTCCTTCACCCAATAACACTTATTTAACTTTGATTGTTTGTAAATTTAAATAAAACTTTGTTTTCACCATGTTTTTTACATTGGTTCAGTCTCTTTCTTTCTCAAACTCAGTCAAAGTCATGGAATTCAGAATTACTTTTTAATAAATATTTTCTCAAACATCCCATTATTCTGTGGACCTATCTTGTCAGTCTTAGGGGAAATCAGTATAACCTGAGAACACCATACTGGTATGAGCATTGCTTGATAAACTTAAACAACTGACAAATTAATATATTTTGACCAAAGGACTGGGCTGTGGTGACATTTTCAATCAAAATTGTAAGTTTCCTAATGCACTTATTATGTTCACAGTATGCTGTTGCATCTATCACTTATTCTGATAAATTTAATGAACCCAACCTTTCTATTACTTGTGTGTATGTATATACGAGGCCTGTGAGAAAAGTATCCGACCTTATTTTTTTTTGCGATAACCTGATGGATTTGAATCAAGTGCGCTTGCATGAGCCGACCTTGAACCTTCGTGCGCATGCGTGAATTTTTTCCCGCTTGTTGATTGCGTCAGTTGTTGGCAAGCAGCCATTGAGTGAGGTAGTGTGTAGTGCTCTCGTCGGTTTTTCATTGCAAGGAAAATGACGGAACGACTGGAGCAGCGCTACTGCATCAAATTTTGACAGAAACTGGGCGACAGCCAGGTGGAAACCATTCGGAAGATTCAGACGGCTTTCGGTGACGATGCTATGGGCATCACACAGATTAAGGAGTGGTACAACTGGTTTAAAGACGGCCGCACAACGGTGGAGAGCGAGCCACGCTCCGGTCGGCCATCAACATGCCGAAATGACCAGGTCATTGCCAAAGTGAACGCTATGGTGATGCGGGACCGTCGTGTGACTATCCGAGAAATTGCGGAAGAGGTGGGCATCAGCACTTTTTCGGCACATTCCATTATGACCGAAGATTTGGCTATGAAGAGAGTGGCGGCGAAATTCGTGCCGAAGCTACTTACGGCGGAGCAAAAGGAACTTCGTGTTGAAGTCTCACAGGACATGCTGGACTCCACAAACAGTTACCCGACTTCATGAACACCATAATCACTGGTGATGAGTCTTGGGTGTATGGGTACAACCCGGAAACCAAATCCCAGTCGTCACAGTGGAAGTATTCCACGTCACCAAGACCAAAGAAGGCCCGCCAAGTGCGCAGCAACGTCAAAGTGATGCTGACTGTTTTCTTTGACTCCCGCAGTGTGGTACACCACGAGTAAGCACCACAGGGTCAAACAATCACCAAAGAGTACTACAGGGATGTCCTCCGTCGCCTACGTGATGCTGTGCGGCGCAAGAGACCAGAGTTGTGGTCAACAGGAAATTAGCGCCTCCATCACGACAATGCTCAAGCACATTCCTCGCACTTGATTCAGACTTTGTTGGTCGAAAAACCAGAACTCCTGTGGTTCTAACAGGCTCCTTACTCTCCTGATA